GCTGCATCGCTACTAGTAACAAAGGCATGACTAGTAGCAAGAAGCTACTAGTAACAAGTGCATCGCTACTAGTAACAGAGGCATTACTAGCAGCAAGAAGCTACTAGTATTCGCTGCATCGCTACTAGTAACAAAGGCATGACTAGTAGCAAGAAGCTACTAGTAACAAGTGCATCGCTACTAGTAACAGAGGCATTACCAGCAGCAAGAAGCTACTAGTATTCGCTGCATCGCTACTAGTAAACTAGTAGCAAAGGCATGACTAGTAGCAAGAAGCTACTAGTCAGAAGTGCATCGCTACTAGTAACAGAGGCATTACTAGCAGCAGAAGCTACTAGTATTCGCTGCATCGCTACTAGTAACAAAGGCCGACTAGTAGCAAGAAGCTACTAGTAACAAGTGCATCGCTACTAGTAACAGGCATTACTAGCAGCAAGAAGCTACTAGTATTCGCTGCATCGCTACTAGTAACAAAGGCATGACTAGTAGCAAGAAGCTACTAGTAACAAGTGCATCGCTACTAGTGACAGAGGCATTACTAGCAGCAAGAAGCTACTAGTATTCGCTGCATCGCTACTAGTAACAACGGCATGACTAGTAGCAAGAAGCTACTAGTAACAAGTGCATCGCTACTAGTAACAGAGGCATTACTAGCAGCAAGAAGCTACTAGTAGCGAGGTTCCTTACTACAAATCAGAGCCCAAAATCAAAGCCCATCGATCCACCGGGACCGGTCTCGTTGTCACAAATACGATAGGGAGAGAGTAGTTGTATGGTTCTCGTTTCAAGGCTGAATTGGGTCAGACCTTGTAATGCCTTGCAATGGATCAGTTGGCCAAGATGCTACATCATGTTGTGCAAGGAGTGGCGCACCTCCATGCGTTCGACTTCGGTAGCTGTTTAGACCAACGAAGTTTGCAGAACATGGTTGAGCGCCAAGAGGCTGATGGCAACGCTTTGTAAGTATACAGCCTTGCAGCCCTTGGTCCTAGAGCAGATGGCAAAACCCCAGAGACTACTTTAGATGGGGTCTTTAGATACAAGGCATCTCATGATACCTCATGTCCTTTCTGTTAGTATAGGATTCGTCAAAAGCGCGAGTCCCCAGGGCCATAGTTACACCACTTGTGCCAAGTCTTTTTGCACAGACCACTGCGGAAACTCTTCTTCCACTATCCAAGTCTTGTTGCTAGTGGTTTGGAGGGAGAGATTCAGATCCAGGGCTCCTGGGCTGTCTATTTTTTTGAAGAGGCAGGGAATCGCAGGTCGCTAAAGTAGGGATTCAACGTGGTCGCAAGCCAACAGGAAAGATGTAGCAAGGCACAGCCCTGAGACACAAGATTTACGGTATTTTCACAAATAATCAAACATATATTCATGATGGGCCACTGGGATGGATGCAGGGTGGGCACTGAACTGACAAAAGCATTTGATTCACATTCTGATTCACATGGTTGATTGCCCATTGATTGCATTTGTTTTTATGGTCATGCCTTGCAATGATAAATCTTTTCTGCCTTTCTGTGGCACACATGCATATATATATATATATATGTATATATGCGATGATATTTGTATGTTGTGGGTAGTGCCGCTCTGGACGGTATTTTTCAATATGTTCAATCCGCCTACGAACACCTTTTGTCCTACCCAACACATGACAAGCATCGTCAGGACCACATAGATTTGGGGGGCCAAGATGGTGTTAATCCGTTGCTTGGAAAAATAACTTCGCAGTGAATCATTAGGCATGTACTTGTTTTGATGTTTTTGAGGTGACCTGGCTGCACGTCATGCCTTTGTGATGCGAGGCGTGGCTGTTGGCGGGGGAAACGGAATCTGGACAAACAGTGGATGACCGTGGTCGAGCCTGTATCATAGAGATAAGACGTGTGTGTCCCATGACCTGTAACAGTCAATAAAGGATTGTCACTATTTTTGAGAAAGGCCTTTACTAACCATCATCATCCACTGTTACAGGGAATAGGGTACACCCAAGAGATAAGATGAGAACAAGTCAAACACGTCGAGGATGCTACACACACTTGTGCCCGAAAGAGCGCCCAGAAGAAAGCCATGTACACCTGACAGACCGTGAGGCTTGCGACTTCCGCTGCTGGTCCGCACCATGATTTGCGACTTCTTGCCAGCCGCGGAGGAAGATCTCTGGGACCAACCTTTGCTGGGTTTGCATAATGGTCATGACTATGCCACTTGGCCGAAGATAGCCTGCACTTGTCAGCCACTGCACTTGTCCAGAAGCTATCCTACCATCAACATCCATCAACGTGCTAGAGCTTACTACTGCCTCGCCCCAGCTCTGCTTGAGGGAGTCACATCCTCGAGACTTCTTGGGAGTTTCAAGTCCCGGGAAAGTCTTAACTTGCCTCTCTCGCCTGAATGCACTCGCGCGGCCAGCAGAACGGGGTGTTGTAAAAGAAGTCCATGCCAAATGCCGCATCCCGGTGTCAGCCCAGACTTGGTGCAGCTAAGCACCCACCCTTCAACTGACGGGTGCTTCGTTGGACATCTCCACAGATACCGACCCGCAGGATCGTCCATTCATCGGTTTTTCGTCCGTTTTCACCAAGGTCTTCAAGGGCATGGCCAATCTCCCCGCCGGCCGCCTGTGCAGCCGTCGGAGCTCGTTGGCTGGCCAGAGTGTGGATGACACGTTGGATCATCACTGCTCGGAATTCGGATGCCCCGTGGCGCGCGGTGCGCCCGTGGCCGTGGTGCTGCGGCCTGGGGATGAGGAGGAGGGTTTCTATGCCACTGGACATGGAGGATGAAGTAGACATTTTCCATTGGTGAAACCGAGAATGAACACATGACATGAAATGACTTTCAGATTTTTCAGTCAGCCTCATTAGTATTCCTTTTTTGACTTATTCTTTTTGCCTCATTTTATATCGATTTTTTGGACCTTTTTCTGCATCCTGGCGCCGAATCTGCGTGCTCAGGCGACGCCGTTGCTTCTCCCCACGGAGTTCGCGGTGCTGGTGCCAACGACCGCCGCCCCGGCGCCGCTCGGATCCGAGGGCAGTGCTTCGCCCGCTTCGCCCTCGCCTCGGTCGCTCGAGTGCTTCGAAGACCTGGAGAGTTGGTATGATGACTTTGAGATGGTCTGTGACTCCGAGTCTGAGATGGTCTGTGAGGAGGAGGAGGATGAATTGGACTGTGAGGGCGAGATGTCTGAGCACCTTGGATGGGTTTTTAAGCGTTTGGCGTTTCCTCGTTTGCTGGGGAGCCTTGAATTGCGGAATGAGCAGCTCGGTGACCCATCCTTGGTAACAAGCAGAGACATGCAGAGACAAGGTTCTTGTTCTGGGGGAGTGAATACAGGTGGTTTGACTCGTTTCACTTTGTCGAGTCTATGTTCTCCCTAAGGATGTCCTACTGGAATTCAAGCCGGTGGCCCTGCACTCTGCGGAAGAAGCCGAAAGGAGTTCAGATGCAAACTGTGGCTCGTCATGTTGCGCTCGTCCTCCCGCAGGACAGTGCGTTGAGGCATGCTGCGCAGTACGCATCGGCGCACAGCGATTGGAAAGAGTGTGGTTCGTTGTCCCAGCTTGATGCTCAGCACTGTTGGTGAGTTCTATCATGTTCTACTTGTTCTGTTCGACTTGGCGAAGCGTTTGACCGTGTGGGGAAAATAGATGATCGTTGAAGACTGTTTGGTCGGCGTCGACTTTGCCTTCGCATGGACCTAAGGAAGGCGTGGGGGTTGAACGCGTGCGCGCTTTGCTTTGTGGCGGTGCCAATCCCACCATCGCCGTCAATGGCTGGCCTGGTCGGTCATTGACCGCTCTTGAGGAAGCTCAGGCCTCGATGTTCAGCCTGAAGGCCCACATTGATGACTTGCTGGGTGGCAAGATGTGTCCCCTTTCTTGCATGGAATCATTTTGAATAGTACACGCCTTAATTTTTCCCGGATTAGCCCCTGTGCGTTCGTGAAGGTGTCGCATGGTTTCACCACTCGTACACACGTGAAACCGCTGGGGCCTTATAGACCGAAGCTTTTTCGAGCCCAACTGCCTCAGGTTCTCATCAAGCCCGACGCCAATTTCATCACTATCACTTTGCCGAGTCGATGGCCGAGGTGCAGAAGATCGCTGAAGGTTTCCTCTTGGACTTGGCCCGGCCGCTGGGCGAAAGCAACAGCGGGGGCACCGAGGGCCCGGCCCTTGGAGGCTCTAAAGACAGGTATGCGCCCCAGAGCTTGCTCATGGTGATGTGGTGAGAATGTGCCCAGCCCTCAACCAAAGATACAATATCAATACACTGAAACTCAAGTTTGGATTGCCAAGATTGCCACTGTGCCAGCTGGTCCAGCCGACTGGTCTCAGATGTCCAAAAGCATCCTGAAGCTTGCAACTTTAAAATCCTCCTCTCACTTGAGGCTGTGTGACTATTATGCATATATGACCCGTAGCAGAATCCGTCCTCACTTTCCACAGCTTTCCACAAAAAGGATCAAAAAGGGCAGACACGCAGCATGGCAGATTCTCCAGCAGACGTTCCGTCATGGTTCCGCATCAGATACAGGACCAAGCTTTTCCCCACATTTTCGTATTGGGATTAGGTGGCGATTCAGTCGACGAACGGATCATTTCACATATTCGAGCATGGCAATCAATGGGGAATCAGCTGCCGAAGCCTCGGAAAGGACCTCCACATCTCAATCCGCCCGAAACAGCCGAGGTATGAGGAGTCCATCGCTGTGATGAAGGCTGCGGCAGATCTTTGGCAGACTGCAGGGCCAGCCCAACGTTCTTTGTGCTCGAGAGAATGCCTCCACGGGCGCAAAGTTGTTCTTCCTGACTTGGCAGAAGTTGAGAAGAGGACCTCAGTCAAACCCGGGGGATTTGAAACCCTCTTGGTGACACACAATTAGGGCAGATTGACATCCAGGGCGACAAGCGGAGAGAGAGAGAGAGAGAGAGACGGGATTTATGATCATCCATTGTGCTGTTCCCAAGTTGCCGCAGTGATGCAGAGTGTTTGTTTGTCACAACCTTCAACAGACCACCAGGTTACTATCCCTCCTCTCGTCCTCTTCAGGATCACCGCGATCCCTGTCGCGCAACGGGTGGCAGCGGAGGTCGCCGTGCCTTTGGCCGCGGCGATGTGGCGGGTGGCTGAGGAGGAGGGGTCAAGGATGCTGGACGCTCGGATGGAGGGAAAGGGATCAAGGCGGCTGGACCTGACCATGGTTCTACCCGTGCAGAAGCGGGCACCTAATTGCTTGATCCTGGTATTTTGGTGCTTTGGCTGCATTGGTCTCACATGGGTGGTTTGTAGCAGTTTTCCTTCTACATTCACCATGAGGACACTTGGCCTGCTGAGCTGCTGGGCGAGAAGAAACTTTGTTGCCACGAGGCGGAGGGTCCGGCAATGGAGTTTGAAGACCAGCGATCGCGGCATGCCTTCCGTGCGGAGCAGGTGGCCATGGACTATGAAGATCAACGATCTCTGCAGGTGGGCATTGAAACTGGGGACGCATTTATAGAAATACACTATCACTAAATACACCGTTGTGCGGTAAGAAACTTTAGCATCTTTAAGTCAGAACCCTGAACATTGCCAAACCAAAGGAAAAGCACGATACTGAACTTGTCACCTTTTCCCCTCTACATTTACATTAAATGGGCTGCCACGGAGGCCCAGACGTTTGATGTGGTGCTCAGTTGGAGTTTGGGGTTGCGGTGCGCATGCCTATGGTTGGGACGTCTCAAACCGCAAAGGCTTTCAAAGGTGTCGAAGGGCCCCTGTCTTTTGCCCAAGTTTTTGCTCACAAAATCCTAAGGAGCTGAAACTGTTGTCGCTTCGCCAAGCGGCCGCAAGATCGGCACGAAGACCGTCCCGCAGAGCAGTTCCGAATTTTATTCAGAAAAACTCCCAGGAATCCTGGTGCATCCACTGTGGCTATGTGTCCACATTTGCCTTCAGCAAGAGTCAGTTAAGCAAAGGCCGGCGAACCAGACGTTGTCGAAGCTGCATCGAAGATGAGCAGAGGCCTTCAGTGGACAAACTGGAGGTGAACCGCCTCAAGAAGCTTCAAATGCAGGTGGCCTCGCCGCAAGCACAGCTGAGATCCCTGGCACGCAAGGTTGAGCGATTGCCCAGCCGAGCAGCTGGCATTGAGGTGATGGAGTTGAATCGCTGAAGCAGGATCCTTCTTGGCCAAGGGTTGGGCCATGTTGGGCCATATCGTGCTCCAATCGGGCTGCTTTTGCAGATCTCGTCATCCAACTGGCACTTACAAAATTGGTTGAAACGTGACTTGTTGAAACATAAGGCTTAAGGGGCAGCCCAACCATGCCCAACCTGTTCATGAAGGATCTTCCTGTGGCCACGACATTTCGTGCCAGAGGTTAGGGGTTGGGGGACTGGAAGGCTGAGTGTGGCTGGATGGACATGGGGATCAAAACTGGGCACGGGGCGCAGCCACAGGAGGCCACTTGCCTGCCATGTTAGAGTTCTTAGGCTGGCACGGCGGTCTTGACACCGCATCCAGCATCCAGCGTTTGGGGTCAGAAAAGGGCCGAAGTTGAAGGGCCAGCAATTGTAGCAGAAGATCCTTATGGTTGTGAAGATCTTATGATTGAAGGCACGCAGATTGAATGTCAGCGTCCACAAATCCGCAACCACATGTTGAAAGACCGGTCCCGGTCCCTCCATCACGTTCATCTTCTCAATGCCATTTCTGGGGTAAGGATGCTGGGGATTGCTGTGCATCTTCATGACTGGTGAAAATTCTTGGGGCTTCTGTCATGGCTGCTACAATAGTCGCCCGAAAGAGAGCTGTCAACATCGAAGTCTTCACAAGAATGCAGACCCTAGAAGCCAAGTAGGGCAAGTTCCCAAAATCAGGTCCCCATCAGATCCTTGTGTTTTAAACATCTTGGACTACAGGATGTTTCGGGTGTTCCTGTGCTGCCGATCTGGTGCCGACCATGCACGACTTGCAGCTTCGGAGGCCCAGAGGCCCCAGTGAGCGGTGACCGGTTTACATTCGCTATGAGTGAGGTCCACGCGCCAAGCAGGTTCCTTCCACGAAGGGCAGATTCATCATGATTCATCCATGATATATCGACAACACTCGAACGAATGTCCGGAAAGAACTTACACAGATGATTTGATGATTATCTCATATGAAATGTTTCAAACATTATTAACATATTGGATGGAGCACGTATTGCCGACACATATCCCAAGGTAGACAGATCGCATCTCTGGATTTCCTTCGACTGCCCATCGCATCTCATGCGGCACGAACATGGCCATGGCGAGTGTTCCGGGCCATGGCCATTGAGGCAGCTGTTGCTAGTGTCATGAGATGGCTATGGGTCAAAACCGGGCCGAAAATGAACCGAATAGATTACAAGGGAGGTCAACCCACCAGAGTTTAGGGCTCATGGTGCAGAAACAAAAATCGTCTCATGTCGATTCTGGGACCGTCGATCAGTCGTTCTGATCACTGGTTCGGAGCATTTCAAGGATTTCCAGAGCGGTTGTCACAGCAACACAAGACGCAGGGACCGATGAATCGTTGCGTCGAGGGACCGATGCCTGACAACGCGTCCAGTCCTGGCGCGTCGTATTGCGACCCGACCAAGACCCGGTGGGGGCGAGTTGGACAGATGCTGCTTCAGGTGGAGGCTGACGGGCGGCCGGAAGCCCAGGATGTTCAGGGGCCAGTGGTTTGGGAGAGCTGTTACTTAGTGGGAGGTCATGCTTCCACAGGCACGACGCCTGAGACATGCATATACAAAATGAAAGGTGTACGGGGTTGGGGTTTGAATTAAACTAAATATAATTGACTAGTGACTAGGCCTTATTCGGACCCTTCTGTAGGGCAGGGGCGCATATGACAGGGTCGTTCTGGACCTTTCCATAGCAGCCCAGACCTCACAGCCTTGCCTTCCAGCCACCGGGTCCGACCGTTCAGTGCCCTGTCGCAGTTTTGCAGATGCAATGCACGTTTAAGCTATGCGTGGGTGGACATCCTGCTATACAGATATGCAATATATATATATATACACAAACATTCTGATATGACAATTGAACTGACTATAGCACATCACCCTGGCGGAAAGGGACCGATCAATCTCCTTGGATTGTTTGGATTCTGGGTGCTATTTCAATATGGCTTCGGCAGAATTCCCTGTTCACCCGGCCATTCCGCGAACAAAACAGCGGCTGACGTTGCACGATCCGAAGTGGAAGAACTCCAGCCACGGTCAATGACAAATGCTCACATTCGGACATGGCGCCGTGCTGGTGCGGACGCCCGTGCACGTCGGAGAACGACACCGCCTGGGAGAACGACCGCGTAAGGGAAGCGCCGCTGGGAAGTTTCTTTTTTCCATGCCACTGGAGGGTTGCACAGCTGGCATAGTCACATGCCAACTTACTTGTCAATCATCTAACTGGTGCTCAGTAAGGAATGAGGGAATGGAGCCGAAGGTATCTAATTATATACCTATAGTGGATGGACCATTCATTCCCAGTGTCATTCGCTTATTCCTTACTAAACGCCAGTCAGTCATGTTGGAAGGCTTGGATCAATCGTGTCCAGATCACCCACTCAACACACTCCGTGTCCAGAGCACCCAGTCAGCGTTCCTTTTGCGCGGTGAGTGTGAGGTGCTTTTCGTGACCCCGGCATTGAGCGGTTCTGAGCGCTTCGAAGCTCAGGAACGCTTTGCTGGGCATCGCTGGTTCCTGACAGCCTTTGGGCTGTGGAGTTCCAGAACGACCCCGGAACCGGGGGAGTTTGGGGTCTACTTCCGGTCCAGGAATGGGCGGGTGTGGAATTTAGAGCTTTCAATTTTGTATAAATATTATAAATTATCATAAATTTTCAATTCTAGAAGTTATCGTTTCAACCCCCGGGTCCGTCGAAGCCGCAGATTTCGAACAAGAAGCGATGTTCCAAACAAGGGTTGAAAGTCGATGTTGTGTGTGTGGAAGTGGATGTTTCGGGCTTTGAAACGAAACCGTTCAGCCAACAGCCAACTTCGACAAATCCCCAAGTAGTGGCCGTGTTGAGTCAAAGGAGTTGTTCAGTCAAGGAACGGAATTTGAGGCAGGGGCAGGTTCGAACAACATTTCTCAAATGCTGTCAGGACTTGCAGATTACTGGACAATGGCTAGTCACACTTTTGAGGGGGAAGACGTTTTTTTTTTGGCTTACATCCACTACACACACACATGTTTTCCACCAGAGTTGAAAGGTATTCGTGGCCTAATTCTTGCAATTGGGGTGCGCCCTTTTCCGATGTGATTTTGTCAAACCCATTGCCGCGAACGGCTGTAGAATAAATGTTGCGCCTATGCTCTGGAGCCAGGGCTTTCATAGCTTTGGTCCCCTCAGTCTTTTAGAGCATGTGACTGCTTTGGTCTATGTTCCTTCTTCCAGACATTTTTTTTGTTCAAGCATTTGGCCCCACACACCAGCCGTTACTCTAGACAGGGATGCGGTAGGTAGGGATAGACGGTGGACATGTAACTCGCCCAGGCTGGGTGCTTGGCTTGCCCACGCTCGGTGGGTCGAAAGGCGATGGAGGCCGGCGTTTCGTTTCCAAACGGCCAAGGCCAAAGGGCCAAACTCAGAACCACTCGTTTGTGCAGGTTCTGTCCATCAACGGTTCTGTTCTCAAAGTGAGTTTCTCGAGTGCTTGGGCTGCTCGGCCGATGCTTTTGGCCTCTGAGGTCTCCAGTGCCGATGCCCTCCAAGCCCGCATCCGCGCACTGTGCGCCAGCGGCCGAGCGGAGCTCGTGCAGGAGGTGCAGGGTGGACATGGCGACCAAGCACAAGGAGGACAGAAGAACAAACAGGAGGAGGCAATCCACATGAGCATAGACAATACATGTAGGCTGTTTGTTGGTTATATCATAGCTATACAAACAACATAACAAAACAACCAAAGACATATGGATAGGTTTTACCATCCGTAAGGGGGGTTTATGAATCAACAGCCTACATTATGTAAGGAGGCGGGCGAAGAACTGGCAAACAAGTTGCTCTGGCAACACCGGACGGAGTTGTTGGTTGCCATGGGCATGACGTGGCAAGGCAGTCCAACTTTGCTGGTGTGAGCCATCAAGTTCGGCATATATAGAATCATCAGGTTTGGCCTGTATGAGCCCCTGGCCAAGAGCTGAACTTATGCCCAATTGTTCAATAAACGTACCCCCATGCGGATAAAATGGACGGCCAATCAAGCCACACAAGAAAGAACAGATGAAGAACTTGCCAGGGATCCCAAAGACTCTACTACATGCTTTCCGTTTCTCCGTTTCAATCGAGTGCTTCAAATTCGATGCACTGTGCATGTGGTTTGCTGGAGATGTCCGGGGAGAAATGCTTTCCTGTTTGTCCGCGAGGCTAACTCCTTTCATGATCATTTGCTGGTTCCAAAGCTTTTCCAGTACTCTGAAGTGTGAAGTTCACTGAAGTGCCCCTCCTCCTGCACAGAAGTTCACTAAAAGACTTCCAAGATGAGAAAGATGCGACTTTCCAGCCACAGTTCTGAGTCCAACTGTCGGACTGGACCAATGGACCCAAACAGCATGTCGCTTCCCCCTACCACTTCTGCCCCTCCGCACCCCATAGCCGCGCCGGGAAGCGACTTCGGCCGGCGAACGCCCGGGCGGAGCAGTCGCAGGTGCCTCCAGATGCCTGGCGTTGCAAGACCCTGGTGGTGAGCACCCAAGCGCTGGAAGGAGCGGAGAAGGACGCAGGGGCACAGACGGCGGTCCTGGTGGTGTTGCGCTTGGAGCAGCGGCTGAGCCTGCCGAAGCTCAAGCCTGGGCGCTGAGGGGCGCTGCATCGGATGGGATGGTGGTGAGTGGTGCTGGTGGTTTGGGGCTGTTTGTTTCTGGAAGCCAGGTTCAAGGGCAAGGATGGTCCGAGAGAAGGTGAACATTTTAAGTAAACAAGTATATTATATAGTCACAAAGACATACATCTATGTTTATATATATATATAGACACACACACATATATATATATATATATTATATCATAGATACAGTAAGACAGAAGGACTTGTTGCGATGCAGATGGCCATGCATCTCGCAGTGTCTCACGCTGTCCAGGTGAATCCAAGTCCGCCGCCAGACCTAGCTGGCAAACCCAGCACGTTTTCGGGAGTGTACACCATTGAGGATCTCTCAGATGGACTTGTGTATCCCAGGGTGGCCCCAGCCAGGTGATGCAGGTGATGGTCTCGGTGTGTCGTAACATTTTCCAGCAACAACTGGAGTGATTCACCAAAGAATGGAGTTCATGGTCAACTGGAAGTTGTCATGAAAATCTGATTTGGGATGATCTAGGGGATTTCTTGAAGCTGTAGAGACCTGACCAGGTCCTTCTCCTCTGAGGCAGTTGCTCAAGCCGCAGAGGCTGAAGATCTTGGGCTTGGCCTCGCCACGCGAGGCGGAGGACGTGATCGGCTGCAGTATGGGAGCCACGGCGGGGAAGGGTGGAGGATGGAGCGTGGAAAGCCCGGAGGGTCGGACGAGACCTGCCAAGCCACCAGGTCCAGGCGTCGAGACCTTTGCATGATGGACAGGAGCTTTTGGATGTTGAGAGAAAGTGAAGTTGCAATAGGCAAGTCAGTCATCCCATGAACGACCTACGAACACCCGCCCCAGAAAGGCTCCAAAACCTTCGAGGCCTGGTGCCTCCGGTCTGCATCGAGCCGGCGCGCCGCGTGATTTTGGACACGCACCTCTTCCAGGCGGATCGACGGAGTGGATCGCGTGCTCCTCCGAAGGGTCGACGGAGCGGATGGATGTCCGTTCCTTTTTTGTTCTCCTCTGTTTGGGGGAAGGAATTGTTTAACTCCTGTTTGGGGGAGACAATGGAGGAAAGGGGGGTGGCGAAGGGTGGTTGTTTTCTTCGTGGCATTTAGTCTCACTTGGGTCAACTTCGATTCTTTGCTGACTATATATGTATAGATACTTGTCACGAAGCCAAATGACTCAAGAAGTTTGTTTAGGTGGGTCGAGAGCACGAATGAGCTGTTGCTGTTTAATTTCTGATTCCTATGTGGTGCGGTCGCAGTCGCGATCTGAATTCAGACGCTTAGATGATTGGCCAGTTGAGTGCCCTACCAGCTGCACCACAGCAATCCGATCACTATCATTACAGGGCATTAAAGATACATAAAGATACTAAAGGGCAACATTGACCACAAATACATGATTGAGAAGGTCCTATATGTGTGGTGAAACTGAAGTGAATGAAACCTCGTATATCCTCATCGAGTGGTACCACTTGGAAGGGGCGGGGCGGTGGTTTTCAGCCGCACCAGACACGCGGACACGAGACGAGGCAGGCACCAGTCCCGCAGCGGGTCCGCGCCTCGTGCTGGGCGCGGCGGACGAGGAGATGCACTTGGCCATGTCGCCACGGGAGCTGCTCCTGGAGACCGAGGCATTCTATAAAAGGTCTCTCAGGGAAAATCCGTCCAGGAAATCCCACTTTGGGGTGAAAAATCATGAAACATAATCTTTTCCCGCAGATGCTTCCTTGAACGAATCCGTTGAAACACCGCTGTCGTGTGAACATGCTGAAGGACATGCGGCTTTGATCGCAAGTACTGGTATCAGTCACAACCAGTGGAGGATTGTTTCTCAGTGAGGCACATTTTTTTTGTTGTGCGCCATTTTGGTACCGGCCATGAGCCAAGCATGAGCCAAGCAAGTACATGTTCCACCTCCATTTATTGCCGTTTATCTAGATTTGTGGGTGGCTCCAAACAGCGCCGGGCAGGGTGGAGTAACGCCGGCTGTTGGCATTTCGCGGCTCCCTGCCAAGGAACCTAGATCTAGATCCAGGGCATCCCAGCCTCCCAGCTTGTGGTTTTTCGACTGCATAATGCGCATAATGGATAGTTTAAATTTAAAGGTGTGGCTACTGGGTCATTGGGTTTTCAGACAGAGCTGCATGTGGGATTGGCAGAGCTTTTGAAGTGATGTGGGAGCATTTCAGCAAGCAGTTTGACGTTGTTGTCAGAGATAGATGTCCCATCCTCTTCAACATCATAGGCGATCATAGTAATGATGACCCTGGCCCTCTTGGTATTTGGCATTTGGACACTCGGCCCAAACATGTCCAAAAACACCGAGAGAAGACCAGATAGACATGACAGCTGGAGACCTCTACCTGACACCTTTCCTGGACCAGGCCTGCATCGCTGAGATCTCGGACAGTGGGCCAGACACGGCTTTACCCGAGTTCCCCCTCCGAGCGGGGCGAGGCAACACAGCCGCACAGCGGCGCGAAGTGGGGGTGGCTTTTGCCTCCTCCTGTGGTGTGGGCATGGAAGTTGAAGAGGCTAAGCTTGAAATGCATCCATTGCCCCCTCGTGCCCCCCTTCATTTCATCCATTGCCCCCTCGTGCCCCCCTTCATTCCCCCCTTGGGTTTCATCCATTGCCCCCTCGTGCCCCCCATCATTCCCCCCGTGTGTTTCATCAATTGCCCCCTCGTGCCCCCCTTCATTCCCCCCTTG